AAAACAGGCGTGTATTCCTTCCGTCCGTGTCCAAAGGCTTATTTATAATTTAGCCAAGGGCCAAGGCATGAAGCAAGAGGCAGCTAGGGGGAGGCAGGATTTTTTTCAGGCATGGGAATGGGATTCGAAAGGAGTCTAACCCTATAGAAAACATCATATTATTGTAGCAAAACAGGTATAGGGTCTACTTCATTAACGATTTAGATTTAAATTGATTGTACTGACAGCCCGTAAGCCGAGCGGGGGGGGGGGGGGGGGGGAAGCACGCAAAATATATTTGGACTCGTCCTTCGGGACATATTTTTAAAAAGGTATATAAATCAGTGATTTGTTTACATTTATGATTTAAAATCATTAATGTATACAAAATCAAGCCAACCCCACCACCAACATGACCAATACCCTCCCAACTGCCGTACACACACGCTATAGCTAATGAAATATATATAGCGCCACCTACGTTGGAAGAAAGAAAGTTTTGGCAAAATTTTTCCAAAAATTTTACCTCGACTTTTTAAATACGGCGCATTTTTGCATTTTGAAACTATAGTTGTTTTCAGTATGTAATTTCCTCTTCAAAAAGTATCATTATGCGGGATAAAATGCTGTATTAGTGCTGTAATTCACGATTTTCCGCTTCAATATTCCCCATTCAGATGCACTCAAGCGTGAAAAAAGATCGCGGCGTTTAATCCTTTCGCCTCAATGGAAACATTTTATTGTTAACGCAAGATTCAACAAAGGAAATTAACAAAAGAACTAGGCTTCCCTGCATCCGTTGAACACGTGTGTTTCGTGCAGAAACCAAGGATTGTGCCGGTTTTATTTCATAGAATTTCACGATTTGGGTTAAATTTATATCCTTTTACACCTTTTCAATCAAATTTGGATCAACCCAAACAGCTACAACTAAAATCAAAGGAGTTATTACTGTGGTCAGACTGTGTGTTACGTCTAAGCGTGCATGGGCGTCAACGTGAAAAGCCGCAAAAAGCCTGTCTTACAGTTATAATTAAGCAGAACACCCTAAACTATTGAATGCGTTTGCGTTTTTGTGGACCGGCGTAGGATTCGCTATCCGGCGACTCAAGTTCGAATCCCACCCTCGTTGTTTTTTATTTTTGCCTTCCCCCAAACCACAGTAAATATTTGAATGCGTCTAAAACGTATTTGAATTTTTGGTTGAATTTGAATATTCTTAAATAACAACCCTCATATTTCAGGTTTCATTTTTCAATTCCTTTTCAATATACATGTAATTGGGTTTTTGTTTGTTGGGGAGGGGGTTATACTATCTTAAAAGAAGCAACAATTTCAAGAAAGTTCCAAAGCATTTGTCATTTTAATTCTTTTCGACTGGAAAATTCTATATAAATATTTAATTAACAACGAGTTAATCACTGATTTTACAATTGGGATGATGCTTTGATAAGAAGCTAAAGATATTAATTTTTTTGGTAATGGAAAACTCAAAATGTTTAATGCTTCATGCTTCATGCCAAATATATATATATATACCAGCACATGTAGAGCCAAACTGTTGAATACATGGAATCAGTACTGCATGGAACAAAAATTGCAAAAGGCAAAAATGCAAAAGTTGACGATTTTTGAACTGTTGTTTTAAAAAAACCCGATAAGGCTAGTTATTTTGTTTAGGCATTAAAGCAACCCTATTAAACTCAAGACATTTCTGTCTTACGAAATCGGGTTTGTAGAAAATATTGGAATACAAGTCACTTGAAATAAAGTGGCACAACATTGACCCTAGGATGTGCAGGAGAGGATGCATGATGTCAAAGGTCATGAAGACAACACTGCTATGAATCTTCTCAGACTCTATATCCTCGTGAGATGCTGATGCTTTTTTTCATCGATCGAAGGGTACCATGCATCCACACCCAACCTTGCATCATTCAATGACTGTTTACTGCCTTAAACAATAATTACAAAACTTGTACAAGTAATTACAGAGAGCACAAGATTTCAGTCAATATCCCAAACCACATAGAGATACCACAGATGGTTACTGAACATGCAAAACAGTCTAAACTTCAAGGAAGTTTATTAAAGGCAGGATCAGTCCAAGTCCCGTCCAGGATCGCTAATCTAGGATCTCCTCCTTATCGTATCTGTTCAGTGTCTGTGATAGCTGGGTGATGCCCTCTCTATGATCCGGGCCCCGTCTCTCTCCACTAACCTGCTGATTGCATTTCTCCAGGAGTCAGTCTGGATGCCACAGCAGCAGCAAGGAGCGTACAAACCCCCACAGCTCGGCAGCATCCTCCTGCCGAAGTTAATGTCACACATCATCTTCCCGTACTAGGTCTGCAGCCTCACTGGCTGCTTCTCTGCTCACGTCATCAATTTCTATTAAAAACAAGAACACAGAAAGGGCACTTTTATTACATAAATGAAGCAAATCGTGATCGAGATTAAGAAGATAATCTTATTAGTTGAACCAAGTCCAAAAATGTGGGACTCTCCATGCAGACTCAACTTCAACTGACGGTGTAAACTTTTATTGTCTAATATCTCATTAATATCATGGCGATCGTGTAGCCTGTAGGGCCCCTGTTTTGTTTCGATCAAATGAGAGTCAAGAGTGTTTCTTATTACTCAAAAACGACATTTTCAACCGAAAGCAGACTTCTCTCAATATAATGACACTTTTTTGTAATTTTTGAACAGTTTTTTGGGGGGTAGAAATTACGATTTTCCTACGTGGTTTCCCGTCGAATTTAATTTTGTGAGTGTTAAATATCACGACGAATTGAACGAAATTTCAATTCAATGCAATAATGTACGTGTTTGGATTGAACTAACACTGCATTTTCTGTAATTATATTTCATTTTGTACTCAACGGTTCCCGTCAATTTTCTAAGTTTTTGTTTCATATATCATGAACAAACTTTGGACAAAATTTCAAGACAATGCAATGTGTTTTTCTGGAGTTATCGTGTCCACAAAGAGTGTTTTATGTTTGTTCAATTAAAATTGACTTGTGTTTGGATTGAATTTTTCGCGAATAATACGCTGTATTTTCTGTAAGCATACTTCATTTTTCTTCAACGGTTCAAGTCCATTTTCATTCGTCGTGTTTCATATATCACGACCAATCGTCAGACGAAATTTTAATTCAATGCAATGTGTTTTTCTGGAGTTATCGTCTCCACAAAGAGTGTTTTATTTTTGCATAATTAAATCCGACTTCGGTTGGATATGGACATGATCATCCGCATTCACAGAAGTGATTGTGAAGCGCGCCCTCTTTTGGAAGAAATTGCTGTTGGCGATTTCTCTCAGCTCTTTTCATTTTCACAAGCACATGTCTAGCAATAAATTAAATACATCCAAAACAATAGTGTGATCAGCGCGAACAAATAGGAAAATGTAGGGGGGGGGGGGTTGACCTCGTATTGTATTTTCAATGGGAGATCGTTGATCAATTCCTACAATCATGCACATTATAATATTACCTAATAGTGTACAGATGCCCGCTCCTCACGACTGGCTACCCATCTCGCGGATATGTATGTTATTATTATCAAGAAAAAAATCAACAGTTTCCCCCGGGGGTGGTACCCCACCCCCTAAACCCACCCTTCCCCCACCCCGTAGAACCGCGCCAGAGTTGTGGAGTTGACAACTCGAGAAAAACATGTTGTCCTGAATTGAAATTTTCTACTATTTGGTCGAGATGTTTTCAACAATGATTTTATTTGGAGAAGCAAATATAATGTTGAGCAATTAATTGAATACAACCGGATATTTTCCACGAAACTTATTAGGAATTATCCACAGACGTTTGCCAACTCTGAGTATTTTCTTTCAAAAGAGGGCGCACTTTACTAATAGTGGTCACCAGCGTTTAAAGTGTGCGCAGCGCGAAAAATGCAATCCAAATAAAAATCATCTTAAATGGAATAAAATCAACAGAATAGGCTCATTACCTGTTTTTCACTTCACAATCGTTGTTGATGCGAAGTATCAACAGCATACACGAGATGGCAAGCATGAAAAACTAATCAGAAAATTGAATCAATCTTGCCATCAAAAATTACCAGGCTTCTTGCCAATCAAAATATACACGCTTCCAATAAACAATACTCAAGATGTAAACACTTACGAATGTCTTGCGGATGCAGTGCTTGGACTTGGGTTCAGATCTGCTCCGTCCACTCCCGGTCTATCTTGACGAACAAACCTCTGTGCTTGGGCAACTTCTCAGTCCTGCTTTGAATAAGACTACGTACATTTATGGGGGAAAATGTTGCAACCTGACGCCACTTTCGCGATTGTGTACAAAGTCCAAGGAGAGTCAAGACATTTTTTAACGGCATTTCCTAACAAACTTGAAAATATTTCTCAGTACCAGATTCATGTCTTATCATTTTTGCAATGAATGACCTTCATTGAGATGATATATGAAGAAAAAAGTGGCGTCAGGTTACAACATTTTTTCCGGGTCTTTGGCCAATAAAGTTGAATTTTTGTGGAGCTCACTCACGTTTTCTGGACGGAAGCGTCTAGCTTTCTGCTTCGGCACTTTCACTTCGCTTTCCACACTCCACTGCAGTGTACAGCATGCTAAAAACCGACTTTCAATAACAGGTGTGGGAGTTTTCTACTATACCTTACCAACAAAAGAAAAGACAGTGAAGCACATCTGGATTGACATTTAACAAATGGAAGGTCAGAAAAACTCCCAGCTCTAACCTAACACTGTAGACTATTCCTTGAAATGTTAAAGGACAGCTGGTGTTAACAAATGACCCCCCCCCCCTTAGTGAAACTTCTACTTGGGGCATGTACAATGGAAAAAAATCAGTGAAGATTCATTGCCTGATAACTAATCTGTAGGGAATATTACATACTGCACAAACTTTTACTGTGAGGGACAGGATCATTACAGTAAACAAGAAAAATGGTACAAAAAAACCGCAAAAAACTGATTTCTTCTGACAAAGGCATGAAATGAGACAATGAAAGAGAGAACTTAATTAATGGGAATTATTTTATTTCTATAACTTCAACATTCTCTTAAACATTAACTGTATTGTTTGTGAAAGTAAAGCACCACACTACAGGGTGAATATGAATTCTAGTTCATTAAGAATCACTTTAAACCTTTTTTTCTGTAATATTTGTCAAGGAATTGAAGTAAGATTGACTTAGGTTTTGTGTTGCTCAAAATCCCAAATTGTCCACATGCACAAATAGGTATGGAAAAAAGCCATATAAAATCACACTGACTGGCTGGTGACACCTTGGCTTTTGTTCGGATGGTCCATGGTTCAAATCTCACTACCTACAGACACACGTCGCTATCTTTGTTTTTCACACCAATTAATTGGAAAAAAAATGAGTAATTCCCTTGAAAAAAAAAAATTTTCTCTTGTCAATTCTGGCATCATTTTCACACTTCTAGTATCATACAAACAGTAACAACTACTTAATGATAAAATTCCGCTTTGAATGCCAACACAAATGTGTTTAAATACAATGCAAGGATTAACTGCACCCCTACAACCGTGAATGGATCGATCCATTAAACCCCGCCCACTGCACACATGAGGAAACAATAGGTACGCCTCTTGAATGCCACACTGCACACGTGCACACATGTTGGACTTGTGTGCACACACGTCGGATATTAAAGCAAGGCAGTGATTGGTCAAGGCGACATGGGGTGGGGCTTAATAGATTGATTCATTAAGCCCCGCCCACTGCACACTTGAGGAAACAACATGTGTGTCTCCTCAATGTCACACTGCACGTGTGCACACAGTCATGTTTTACTTTACTCTCGAGGACAATGCTTTGTGTTTCCCTTTGTCCCTGTAATATAACACTTTCCCACAGATTCAGCACACACAGTCACAATCGAGGACAGTTTTCCAACAAAAGAAAAATGTTCGAGGTCAACAAAGAATCTGTTGTTCTCCCTTTGTCTGTCTGTCCTCGGGGTGTATGTAGTACATGTACACGCATGTCGGACTTGTGTGCACGGCTGCACGCATGTCTGACCAAGGCTGTGATTGGTCAAGACGTAATGGGGCGTGGCTTAATGGATCGATCTATAACCAACTCTAAGCAAAATATGAACTGATGTCAGTGGCTGAGGGCACAGACTTCACAGAACTACTGAGAAATATCTGCTTCACATTATGACAGCTACATGTAACTTACATAAGTTGCAATGCAAATATTCCGGCACAAGTCAAATCAATCCTTAGCACACCAACAGAAAATCTGACGGAGCCGCTAAGCCAAACAATGCAACAATGTAACCAGGTTGCTAACAGCCAGTTTTCAGCTGATTTGAGTCTGGGCAGAAAAATTTGGTATAAGCAACATTGTCAGCCTAGCGGCGCCATCAAATTGGACCAAGATATATTTGTTAAACAATAATTCTTCTGAAATAAGATAAATTTCCCTAAAAGTGATGGCATCTAAGCGGTGACATCCTCTCTGTGCTCTACGCCAGACCCGTCATCAAATCTTGGAGGGCCAGGTTCCACTCTCTCGCTGGTCATCCCAATTCTCAACCTACAGGATTGAAAAGAAATTACAATCTATTAACCCTAACCTTCCCAAATCCTCCCAAATCCTCTTTGCAAAAAGGAGGAATTGATTGAAGTTACATTGTAAAAATGCATGGCTGGTTTTGAAGGATGCACTGTGTTAAGGTCTTGGGCTGGACCTTGTGTTGTTCATGCTCAGCCATGCATGAATTTAAGCCTAGATTTTAAAGTACTTGAAATCCTTCACACTGCTCCAGGATGTGACTGGCTCTGCCTCAACACATTGACAGTGATTGCTGGAGGATTTTGCAGGATTGAGGCATGCAGTGGTCACCCCTCCAAGGACCACATTCGAGAAGTAACGGAGAATATTGCAGGATTTAGGCTGTGTGCAATTTTGTCATGGATGCAGTTGGGAGGATTTTGCAGGATTGCGGTTGCATCCTAGCAAAAATGCCTCAGAGGGAGTTAATTATAAGACAATTTTTTTAAAAAAGAATTCCATAATTAACTCATTGAAATGTACAATGTGCCAAGATTTCACAAATTGAGTAATTTTTTTCACTGATTTGAAAGAGCATGTATAGTAGTAAAGTCTGTCCCGAGCCAATGTGGCTCATCAGGCCGGTGTTTATCTCCGGTTTCCTTGGCATGAAACGACTGAGAATATTTCTACTCCCCCTGAATGGGATGCCAGTCCATCCGCACAGGATTACTCCCCAGCTAATGCCGGTACCCATTTATACTCCTGGGTGGAGAGGGGCAAGTGGGGGTGAAGTGCCTTGCCCAAGGACACAATATATGGCCAGCGGCTGGATTCGAACCCCGAACCCTCTGATCATGAGTCATGAATCCTAACCACTAGGCCACACACTCCCCAAGAGATTTTGAACCTTTCTACTTGACTGAAAGGGAAAAAAATGTATAAATATTTTTTTTATTTTGGGCACCTACACCAACAAGATTTACCCTGCAAGCAGACTAGTTCCCTGTCCCTACAGTATTGACTGGTTGCAAATACTTAACAATTTCTGAAGGAATTTGTCCATAAGTTAATGTAGGCCAATTTTCTCTTTTGAAAAGATACAGAAATTGTCCATGTATCTTGAAATGTTTGAAAACATCACAGAGTTCGTCATTCTGATGAATACGCACTTTTTTGGGTGAAAAAGTTGACAGTCCTATTAATTACAAGATTTGGTTAAGGGCCGAGTAGATCACTTGTAATTGTCGCATATTGTTTTCGTTTGAAGCAACAAACGTGCTCAAAATCTAAAGAAGGGTGCTTAAAAACTAATTTGATGAAGTTTTAGCTCAGTGAATGCTATATGTATTACAAGAAAACAATATTGTAGGATCTCAATTTCAATTCAAAAGTTGCCGAGTCAAGTTTTGAAATTTTCCCCGAAATCAGCATCCGGAACACATTCTCATTCAGCCTATAGCAGCTATGAGATGTCATGCACTGAACTGACAGATAACAGCATACCCATGCAAAAAACTTGTACGTGTTCATCTTTTCAAAACGGGGACGAAAAATACCAGAGAACAAAAGAGAACAATATCGTCCACGATTCCCAGCATACGTCCACGATTGGGGTTCGTGTACAAAACCTATGGGAGTCTTCCTAAAAAGTTAGTACAAACAAAAGAGGGACAATAGGACACCCACGATCGACAGTGAACACACGTTTGTATGTGTGTGAGTCTACACACCGTGTAAATTATCTTTGTTTCATGGAATCAACCGTTGGTAGTACAAAAATTCATCCGAGGCACACTCACCCAAGCGAATGGACACATGGACTTGTAGACTTTCTTGAACCAATTGCAGCTCTCAAATTCTTCTCCCTTTAGCTTGAGACAGCGGTGGTAGTCATAGTAATTCTGCCAGCAATTCTTGGTCTGGTTGGTGTTTGGGAAGCGGGCGTCGAAGGGGGCCGTTGTGTAGTTCTCGAGGGCTTCTTTGACATGCTCGTCACCCATGGTGCTGCTGGTTTTTCTGTTAAATATGTGAACAAAAAATCACTGAAGTAACTGGCAAACCACTGTTCCTTATAGGCCTACTAGGCATTTTCCGAAGAGGCATCGGCCTGTTTTGTGTGTAGTCTTTAATTCAATGTGTGCATATTTAATTGGCTTTAGGACAGAAATATAATAATTGCCAAAAGTCGGGGCGTTGCGACAGCGTGAACGATAGATCACATCATGCATATGCCCAACATATGTGACAAATGCACAAAACTCAATTTTTAGTAACATTGATTTGCACAGTTTTAACTGGGAATAGAGGGTAGGGCGATTCCATTCTTTGAAATGTCTACCGATGGGTAAATTGCATACCTAAATACTCCTACTACAGCTAGACCAACTATGCGATTTTCATGGAAATGGCGGAGATTGTGATATTTAGGGTACAATTGAAGGGATTTGTGGATTATTTTCCCTCAAATGCCTTAGAATTTCATCCCGTACGACTCATGAATTTGTCACAGGACACAAGTGCTCTTCTGTTGTACTCTTGAATAACATTTATGTAAGATTGCACTTGTTCAAAATAATTGATTCACACGTAGATCAACTACATGGACATGTGCAGACACTGTGACCTAAAATGAGACGACTCATTAGAGCACTGCTTCAGTACATATGAACGTCGGCTACTCTCCAGTAGCCGACTAAATGGCTAAAGAATGCATACAGGTAAAGACAACAGTAGGAGAGAGTAACAACATGTGAAACGGCCCCGAAGACAAAAATCCCTATTTGTCTGATGGACCAGTGTGGCCAACTTTATGGAAAGAGTCCATTAACCCTGCTATGCCCAGTGCAGTTGGCAAAGAGAATTATCAGACCTTTCAAAACATTTTTAATTTGCCTGACTAAAAGGGTTTTGAAAGGTGAAATAGTGCTGGAACTTTATGACTTTTCGAAATGTTTCCAAAGGTGAAGCAACTCTGTGGGCAAATTCAGTAAGTTGCATTTCAATACCTTTCGAAAGGAATTGAAAGGTGTGGTAGTGCAGTAACAATAAATTCTGGAGGATTTTAGAAGGTCCAGCATTTTTTTCCCTCCAATTTGCCAGCACCCAGATTTTGAGGTGTTTTGAATGGTCTAACTACACTACAGGAGAGTTAAAACAATGTACTTAACCATTTTGACATGTTTCTGTAAGCAAAACATCATTAATTTCCAAGTTACATTAATGTTGCAAGGGCCAGAAATCTCGATAAATGCATTTTGCGTTTTCACGAAGAGCCACATACATTTTGGCCCTTTAAACGCGTACAAAACTTATTGCACGGAAATACGTAAAAGTAGGTCAAATGAGATTTCCATTTTCACGAAGAGCCACATATCTTTGTTACATTTTCAGCTGCGCGCGCGTACTCACGCGCACCTATGGAAATACACGTTGAACAAAAATGGCCAATATGTCGTAAACCTGAATTTGCGTTTTCACGAAGAGCCACATATCTTTACTAATTAATTTCTACCAATTAACTGCTGTATTAAGACTTATTACCGGGTTCATGTAAACATTCAGCTCTCGTAGAATCGTATGATTACTCCTAGAACTATGAGGCTCCACGTAGTGGAGCCTCATAGAGTCAGAAGCCCGCAAAATTGTTGTCAACACAAAACACTAATTAAGTACAAAAACGTCCATTCCAAATAACCTATTTCCCACAGAACCGCTGCACAGTTTGCCCCTAAACTCCGTACAATACCTCATGACATACTCACGTTATGTGCACCCAACAAACATCGGTGGATTCTGTCTGTTTTTAGGCCAAAATGATGAAAAATATGCCATTTCCGCACTGAGCCAACCTAACACTTGAAGCGAGCACGCGCGCTGATATATCGCAGTCATTTTCGGGTTCGATCGCTCGGAGCGCACCGCGGGGGGTATGGTGTAAGAGCGGATTGATAGTTTGCGCATGCGTACAAGTGCAAGTACGTACCCCCCGCGGCGCGCTCGGAGCGATCGAACCCGAAAATGACTGCGATATCAGCGCGCGTGCTCGCTTCAAGTGTTAGGTTGGCTCAGTGCGGAAAGGGCATATTTTTCATCATTTTGGCCTAAAAACAGACAGAATCCACCGATGTTTGTTGGGTGCACATAACGTGAGTATGTCATGAGGTATTGTACGGAGTTTAGGGGCAAACTGTGCAGCGGTTCTGTGGGAAATAGGTTATTTGGAATGGACGTTTTTGTACTTAATTAGTGTTTTGTGTTGACAACAATTTTGCGGGCTTCTGACTCTATGAGGCTCCACTACGTGGAGCCTCATAGTTCTAGGAGTATCGTATGATGGTTTCCTTGCTGCACAAAGTTGTTGCAAAGTAGTATTTCTTGCAGTTTTAAAATATGAGAAACTTCTTTTGCGTATCTCGAAAACTCTTTTCTTCAAAATCAACATAATACTAGGCTAGTATGTGGCTGTTCGTGAAAACGGTGACGAATTACAAACAGAATCACCCGGTATGGATGCCAAGGTACTGCGGAAAATCTTCAAAATTAGGGCAAAGGAGAAGTGCTTGAAGATGAAGTCAATAAAATAGTTTCAAAACTAAAGAAACAGGCCTAGGCCTAATGCGAACTTGAGAGGATATTTATTATTAAGAAGATAGAATTGATATGTCCGGAAATTGGGCATGAGTGATGTGCAGGGAAATTTCGTACCAAGTTGCAGTTAAGATACACACTTTTTGGCTCCTTATTACATATTGAATGCTTATTCTTACAATTCATCAAATGCCCTGCATTGATACCTTGATATCCATACTTACATTTTCTGGTTGTAGCCGGGATTTCTCACGAAAATTCTCACCAAATTTCACACCGAATTTTGTTCCACTTTTCGCCGGTAAGGGTAAGCTCACTCTTCAACGCACTGTTGTTATGAGAACTTGTAACCGCCGCACGCTTGCACTGTGTGTATGTGCCAGGTAGTTAAATGGATGCGTTGACCAGACTATTACGAATGCACGTACGCTCTTGGGCAATGGCAGAGGGCGCTATTTGAACTTCACATCAGAGAAACTTTTTTTCCAAACATTTAAGTTTCCAAACATTTAGGTCAAAGGCAGGTGAATCAAGGTAAAATGCTGATGTTTATGTTTGATAGTTCAGTTCGTTGGGAGTCTGTAGTTCATTTTGCCGTGACGCGTCCATGACATTTCAAGCAGTACCTGAATAAGGAGGGGGGGGGGGTTGCCGGAGGGCGACACGCCCCCCGGTCTTGGCCCCTCGCTCGGACATTGCTGAAACAAACCCAGTGTATTAGAAATTTGTTATGGTAAAATAAATTGAACAAATAATTGGAAGCTGTTTATTGGGCGCTCAAATCTATATTTACAGAGGCGTAAATGAGAAAAAAATAACAAAAAGTTCCAAAATAATGCTCAATGCATGCAAAATGAACACTTTAGAAGCATTTGTGTGCTTCAGTAATTTATCGAGACTTAAGACAGAAACCAATGATCTTTGCTTGCGCACCGCCAACAAAAAGAAACACCTCTTTTCACTGTGACATCATCGGCAAAATTACCCGCTCGTGCATACATAAAGGGGGGATATTCGTAACTTTATCCATGGCAAAGAGAATGAAAACTTGTTTGTGTTCCTTCCTCCATGCTTGGACCAATCGAGTTAACTCGATGTACGAATCGACTCGGCTCCCGCCTTCGGTATAAAGTTACAAAGTCATGCAATGCGAGACCAAGTTTGCAGTCATTCGTCAGTGTCATTTCGTCTATGATTACACTAACCTTACACCGCCCGTAACCTTTGTGTACCGTATGTTTGTTATCCGTTCATTATCCGGTTCCAAAGTCCGCCGAAATTACAATGAATAATTCGAGTACCCGATATTATTTCACCGCCCAAAGACACAGACGTATTATGCGCACTCACGGCATGGCAATGAGTGCATGCTCACAAAAATTCCCGAACAGTATAAATTCGCGCCATATTTTCCCTTACTTTGTGAGCTCAGTACTGCGTTTTTATGGGAGATGATCTGCAGGTAAAGGATTAAGGACGGAATAGGAAGAAATTTTCAGGATGAATCGTTTTCACGAAGCAGCTCGGGAGGGCCATTTGGATTTACTGCGAGACGCGACTCGACGCGATGCCAACAAGCCAGACGATACGGGCCGTACGCCCACGGTATGGGCGGCCTACGAAGGCAACACAGATGCGTTACGTCTGCTCGTGTCCAGAGGGTACGTATTTGAAGCAATCCAACCACTTTTTAATAATCGTTAACCTAAAAAATTAACCGGGTATGTTTAGAAAAAGGGTCGATGATATATTTTGGTGTCAAATTCTGCGTCCCGCTTTTTGACTTTTCGAGGTCCAAGATATTTGAGGATTCTCTGGATCATTTCAAGGATCCTTTTGACTGGAAAACCATGGAAAAAGTGTCATTTTAACCCCAAAAGGTGTCATATTTTACATGAGAAGTATTCGGTGAAATGAAACCATGGGTCAACTCTGACGAGTAGCATGGGCAATTTAAAGTTGTTGCAAGTGACTTTTTAAAAAAATATATTATTTTGACACACGGTCATTGAGATTTGACAGTTATTAGGATTAATTGGACAGCTTTTTGGGTTGGGTTTTCGACCACGCCCTTCCCCGACTACATGCCTGTTAGGCCAACCCCCAGTTCCCTGGCCTAGTCGAGATGCTAGAAAAGAGGCGGCGATATTTGCTGCAGTAAGGTGTACGGTAATATTAGGATAATTATCAGCTCAATATAGTCAAGTTGTGTGTCACATTGCGATTTGTGCAAGGACAGTATGGCTATCGAATATCTTGTAAAGATTGGCCATCAGAGGATGGACTATATTATAACCCGGATATACAGATAACAATGAAGTAACATAACTGAGGGCAAAGAAGCAAGTTCGGTTGAGGGCGCATGATTGTATATCCCAATTAGTGGTGTGCACGTTGCTCCATGCGCATTGTCACATTGACTATGACTTGAAGAAGTCTTTATGAAATGGTCCAATCGATATCGTCATAGGCTAAAATCGTCACTTTTCAGAGGAACACTATAATTATGACTATGATCAGGCCCGGTCCTGCATGGAGGAGGGACTACCCCCCCCCCCCCCCCTCCCCGGCGAACGACGTTGACTGAGTTTAGGTTGTCACAAAGCAAACTTGTTCCAGTGTGAGTCAACAACATGATTTTCCGAGATGTTCCACGTTAGTCTAGAACATTTTCCAAAACGTTTGCTATTTTCAGGAAAATTCCTATTCTTTTACATATTTTTTATTAAATTTCACATAATTTCCCTGAAATTGAGCGGACTTAAAAAACCGTCAATTTCTTCGCCCCAGTTTTAGTCAAGAGGTGGAGTGATGATGGTTATCAATTCAGCAGGTTCTTTTCTCAACTATGGTCTCCGGTAATCAAACATTACCAGCCATCGGTGCTATCGTCTGATAAGTTTTCAAATGTTGCGTATTCTCAAAGTGTTATCAGATTGATTGACATAATCTGCGATCTTTGGTACTGAAGTTAAAAGCCGCATTTAATCTGATTTCCCTCATGAGCCGATTTAATTTCAACCAGCATATATTGCGAAATTTAAAATTTCAATCCTAACATTTTATTTTTAACGCAGATAAAAAGACTTGTCATTAGTCACATTATGAAACGAACCAAGATCCGAAATCCGGCCTGGTGCTAAAGTCATTATACGCAGGCCTGGATTTTCGTTGTTTGGAAAATCCCTTAATTCCATCTTTTGGAATATCTGCTGGTCTGCCTAAAAGTATTTTTATTTGCTCATTAAAACTCCATCAACAGTCCACACAGTGCACTTCTGGTTGACAATGTCAAGGTAAAACATCCACTAACATTTTTTTAACCGGGTATGGATGTCACATGATCTATTGTGTTTATTCTTAGCCGGACTGGCAGCTATTGAACTTGGGAACGAAGTTCAACAAGTCACACCTCTCGATCCCTATAATAATTGCATGCACCATGTGTCAACAAACCCCGCAAATTCTGTGTTAGATTAAGATAGTTACCGGTAGGATTATGTCAAGTACCGGATAGGAGAGACCTACATGTACCAGCATTTTTAGGTTTCTGTTCGCCAGATTTGTGCTGATAGGGAAAGGTCATTATTTTCTCATTTATTTTCCCCTGAAACTATTTTGTAAGCATTTAATAATCGAACCGAAACTTCTAAACTTTGGTTTGGTATTGCTACGGTATTTGACATCCCTGATATCCAAGAAAATTGAGTCGCAGAGCGTAAGGGTCACTGTAACACCTCATTATATGATAAAGCTATTATTTAGAGTCTGAATCTGAAATCGAAATAAGAGGAGGTTTGAAGAATATGGATATGATCGGGGTGTTATAACATTGTGAGGTAGGCCTATACACGGCATCATCTTCAGATTCTATGCCTATTTTCACTCAACCCCAAAAAAAGTCCCCCTATTAGTATTACTTTTTTGTCCAACTGAAAAAATTACTGCGCAAATCTCGCTCAAATAACGACTAATCAGTACAGAAATTCCTTAGCAATCCAGCCATACTGTTTATTTGGCCCAAAACAGTGACACTGCGTACGAAATTAAGCAATTTACGACAAACGATACCGAAAAAAAAGTTTCACTTTTGTAAAAACGTGCAAGTTACACGTGTCTAATTAAAGCGCAACTTATTTCGGAATCAATTTGTCCTAATTGCATAATTTCGTACACATTTCCACTGTTTTGGGCAAAATAAAGAGAATGTTGCTAAGGAATTTCTGTACTGATTACTAAGCAAGGGCGGATCCAGGGGGGGGGGGCCAAAGGGGGCCATGCCCCCCCCAAAAAAAAAAACGAAACCAACTTTTTTTTTTATGTGACATCGCAATAAAGGCAGGCAATGAGTACACCACCATCTTTTCCTCAAAAAAACATTGGTTAAAGTGGTCAGAAATTGCCTCAGATCGCACCACAGAGCATCTAGAATCCAAAAAAATTTCGGGCCCCTTAAGCGGGCCCCGAACCCCACGCCGTAATTTTTTTGACCCACTTTTTTGGGGGACCAAAATTTTTTTTGGCCCCCCCCAAAATTGTGTTCTGGATCCGCCCTTGTTACTGAGTCGATATTTTGAGCGAGAGGTGCTCAGTAGTGTTTTATTTACAGTAGAAGTAAAGGGGACGAACCTGTGTTCACAGGAACGGAGTGCCCATCTCTTTCGTTAGCGATTGGGCCGACTTATATGCCGCTATGGGGGGATCGCCACACCTCCTCCACAGCGAGTCTGTTACCTTCCCAGCATTGATTAATGCCAGCACTCATTTTACACCTGGGTTAAGAGGACTTGAGGTAAAGCGCCTTGCTCAGGGGAACAACACGGTTGGCCACGCCGAGGCTTGAACCCACAATAAACTTACGATCATGAGGCCTGTGCTCCACCGCTAGACAAATTCGTCAAATTTATGTCAATAGATAGAGCCAGGGTTGTCTAATTAATGTAGCAGGGCATGTGAAGCTGTTGCGCAAAAGTAGATTTCATTATCTTCATTTTAAAAGACACTTTGCCAACTATTAATTGCATCATGCAGCAGATAAGTAAATCCACCTTATCATATCAACTCGCACCATAGACAAGTGACATATTAACTATCATAACGATAACGGCTTAATAATCCTCTTCAAAATCAATATATAAGAAGTCTACTGAGTCTACCCACACAGTGAAATAATCATGGTCAACCAGGGTTCCCCCCCCCCCCAAATAATCTTTTATAGTCCGATGATTGAAGGAATTATGGCACTCGGTCCGGGCACATTCCAGGCATGGAACGGAGTATAACCCACTTAGCACCATGGAGCTTTTTGTATAGCTCCGTGGAATCACCAACGTACTATCCGAGTTTTCCCCCTCCCCACCCCTACATACCACCCACCCCATCCGTCTATGGGGATACAGCATTGCTCAAATCACGGTGAATGTCGATATATGTTAAAAGGCTCACTTATACCTCAGTAAAATGCGCTGTGATGTGAAACAAGTGAAGTTTACTCTTCGAACATTGATGGGTAGGTGAAATTTTCAGAAACTTGATATAAAGCGAACTTTGCAGAGAGGTTTGCGGATACACCATTTTGATCCCACTACCTCAGTCCGGGGAATATAATCTTTGGTTATCAGATCAGAACCACAAGTCAGTCCCTGCTCAACCCAGAATTATTACGTACGTTCCAAGGTCAAAATGACATTTTTTTCGGGGTCAAGATTGACACTTTTCTGGGTCAATATATGGCACTTAGGCCATGGTTTCCGGGTTAAAATGACCCGGAAATGATCCTGAGATGTCATTTTGACCCGGGAGAAGGAGTCAACTGTAACCCTATAAAAGTATTAGGTAAAAAAACCCGGGTGCGTTCGAGCGTGTTACTCTTGCTACCCTAGTGCAGGAAAATGTTGCGTGCGCATTAGGCTCTCGGTGCAAGAGTATATTTCCCGGTCTGACCGAGAGTATACTCAGCATGAATCTGGGTAGTCTCCCGAGTCAAAATGACACATTTCTGGATCATTTCCCTGGTCATTTTTAACCCGGCCAAACCATGGCCAAAGTGTCATATAAAAATTATTGACCCAGAAAAGTGTCAATTTTTGACCCGTGCTAACCCGCTGGTCGTACCCCTGTTGTTCGTGCGCTTAGGAGTATACTCGTGTTAACACGCTCGAACACAAGTACCCCTTGATGTTTATTGTAGGGCACATCAATGATGACTAGAGTCACTGTTGAGGAGTTTCTTCTCAACTCACACGTATTTGTTGACTGCCCTTTTCTTGACTGCAGAGGCAACCCAGACCTGTGTGACATCCAGGGCCACACGGCACTCCACTACGCCGCCCTCTCCGGCCACGTCAACACTGTGACTTTCCTGGTGTCCTTCGGCTGCAACGTCTGGTCCCTGACCAACGACTACCGCACGGCCAAGGACCTGGCTGCCGAGAACAACCACAAAGCCTGCCTGGCTTTCCTGGACGAGGTGGCAGCTGAACAGTCGGCCAAAAGCCCCAAAGAGGTCAAGAAGCTGAAGGAGAAGGCCCTGGTGGAAGCAGACAAGCGAGTCAAGAAGCTGCGCAAGATGCAGGCCGAGCACACCAAGTGGCTAAAGAAAGAGGAGAAGAAAGAATCGGCCAAGCAGGGCGGCCTGTACAAGAAGAAAGCTGGAGGCAGGAGTGTAGGCTCCAGCCCGGTGGTCGGTAGGGCACATGAGCATTCCCACAGACACAGCACCGGGGCGCTGTTCTCCGAGATCACATCCTCCAACGGGGCTGCCAACAAAAGGGGGCGGTCTCAATCGTCACTGATGCCCGGTACCAGCTACTCCGAGGACAACCGCAGCGGATCAACGGCTGGCTCCAGGTCCAGCATTAGTGAGGGCGGAAATGACAACGACAGCGGTGACGAGGACAAGGACAGGCGGCCCGACATTAGAGAGCAGAGCTTCTGGCAGCCCGCGTTTGCCGGTTCTATGATACAGAGCTTACCGCCGAGAAAGCCCGGAGATGGAGTCGATACATTGGAGGAAGACCTACTCAACAACCTGGACATCGAGCACGACTACAGGACAACCAACAGCGATCCCAAGGTCCCCCAAATACACGTGTCCAAGCCCGAGGAGGATCGTAAACAATCGTCAACTGATCAGAACTCCAACGGCCTGGACTGGAATCCAGACGTTCTAGACGACGATGACGACGAGGATGTCCGGCCGGGGACCAGCGATCTAGAGTTCTTCCTTGCGACACACAATCTCCTTGATTACCTGCCGGTGTTCACCGGAGAAGAGATCGATCTCACGGCGCTCATGCTGCTGAGTGATGATGACTTTATGAAGCTCGGCCTGCCTCTGGGCCCGAGGAGGAAACTGACTGATGCCATTTCTCGACGAAGGCACGCCATGAATAACCCGGGAGTCATGACAGACACACACCTGTAAAATCGCGTTTACTTGGGTGCCCAGTAAATTAAGCTTGATCAGTACTGATACTCAGTAGCTGGTAGTGGTACCAGACTATTACAAGCAACCATCACGTTGATTCTAAATACGAATATGACATGTCGGCGGGATTTCAACAAAGTGACGCTTCACAACTTTTTGGACAGGCCTGCTATTGGACTATTTGTCACATATCACCTGGTGCAAAATATTCTACATCTGTAACTGCATGGACTGAGTAAAATACAGGGTGAGTGCAAAAAAACGAAACCCAAATGGCAGGAACAATTTTTGAATGAAATTTTGCTTGTAGCACTTTCAAAATCTCGGATATGAAAGCCCAGACATTAAGCTTTCTTTTAGTACAAGAATCATTCAAATCACCCATGTGCTTTTCAAGTTCCGGAACGGAACACAAACGCCGTTTTAAACTTCTGTCCGCGGATCACAAAAAAAGTAAGTGTTCATTCTCATAGGGATGCATGTGAATTGTTTTCTTTTTGCTGAAAGAACAATTACCTTTTTTGTGATCCGTGAACAGAACTTTAAAACGGTGTTTGTGCTCATAATTTCGTTACTTGAAAAGTACATTGTTGATTTGATTGTATTAATATAAAGCTCATTGATTGGGCTTTCATATCCTGGATTTCAAAAGTGCTACAGGTAAAACTTCATTCAAAAATTGGTTCTGCAATTTGGTTTTGGTTTTTTTTTTTACTCACCCTGTACACAAAGACCAATGGTCTTTTTAAAAATAGCTTCACATTGGATTTATCGTCTGTATCGATATACATTGTGTACAAACAAGATGGCTAACTATGACTAAAATGAGATATAATATGCCATGGTGGCAGAATATTTCATAATAAAATTGCCGACAAAATGCGCGAAAAATAATTCTATAATTATAGGACCAAGATTCTCTATGAGAGGTATTTGGTACTAGAAAATACAATGTAAATATATCAATTAAGTATGGTCATATGTCGATCAATTTTTCCAAACTTCTCAAATTCTCTCGACGCCAACCAATGTACATACACAATAGATATCAAATATTATATGTTACTCTATATAAAGAAAATACTTTAAAAAAGAACACCCTTTTTTCATTCAATTTGGTACGTACTTAATTCCTAAGAAGTGTATTCTGACTAGTAATGTTTTCAAAGACAAGTTCTGAGCTTTTTCTTGAAAAAAAGGAAGCGTCGTTTGTTCTTTTCCCCCTCTTTTCTTGTTGGTTTACCTTTAAATTAACACAGTGAAATACAATGTGGAGTATCCGCTGTTTGACCAACGTGACGTCACGCGATCGCTAAACCAATCGTCTTGCTCGAATTTCTGCCGAACTTTTGTTGTTGTTTTCCCTTTCTTTTTTAACATAAGAACCTAAAATTCATTGATCGTTTCAGGTAGATTTAGGATGAAGCTGTATGTATACTCATTTTTGACGATGTTGGCTGAAATATATTAAATCTCCAATAGTTGTATTCATAGATATAAATTTGTGAATGAAAGGTATTCATTCAATAAAGTCCAGCAAGTGAGCAAACAGATGTACATCTTTACCTATGTCATGAAACATCGAGAAAAGTGTTGAAATGCATGACGTTTCACATTAGTTACATGACAAGAATTGACTTAGTAGCACAAGACTTATCGATTTCCTTTTGAAAACCATTCATATAATTATAACTTGAGCTACCCTTTACCTACATATTTGCAAATTTCAAAATCGACCGTAAAAAAACGCACGTGTTGAAAATTCAAAACGAAAGTACATGTATGCATGGTTTAATTTTGTATACCTATTTTTTGTGATAAAAAAATGCTTATCCTCTCACTAGGAAGAATTACAAATTCTTGAGGTCAAACCTATTAAAATATGTTTTCAAGAGTAGCCACAATAACTTAGTACTTTGTTCATTGTGGCAAAAAGCGAGAATTATTACCCAGTGCTGATATGTAAGATGTACAAAAATAAAATGCAATATGTTTATTAATTCTGGTCTTCCTCCATTTTGTCCATTATAAAGGCCAATTCCGACAAAGCGAAGAACTGAAGAGTTCAACTAAAACAGGAGTTTCCCCGTTTTGCTTAAGTTGTACTATCCATTAAATCATTTCAATTTGGACACCGATATAATCAGTGTTTGTTGCTTTGTTGCCCCCCTCACAATATGTGGCATCAGGTACTTGTGTAAGACCAAGCGTGTCTTCATATAGATTGATTGCATTAAGAAGCCATCTTTTGAGGAATGTTTTGTTAGTTCATGGAAGCGCAGGGCCTATACCCGACATGCACATCCTTGTTGAAAAATAAACACGCATGATCAAAGATGGCCGCACTGCGAAACGATCTATAGTATGTCCCCCCAAAAGTGTCCGTCTTACTATTTTTGAAACAACTGCACAATCAGGAGGTCAATTTTGAAAATGTTTGGTTTTGCAGATATTCCTAAGCGGCCTCAACCTATACGGGTTTCATTTAATTTCAGTCACGCATCACTGGACAATTGTCAATTGCGCACAACATTTTTGGACACTGTGACCAAGTTCTTTGACTTTTTCAAATTCAGTACTGCGTGTAAAGCTGTGTAAAATCTTCCATGTTGTGAAAAGGGCTGCAGTTGGGATTGGAATCATTTGCCTAGCTATACTCGAGAGCAAAATGATTCCAATCCCAAACCATATACAGCCTTTTTTCACAACATGCAGGATTTTACACAGCATGGTCACAGTGTCAAAAAAATGTTGTGCTCAATTGGCAATTGTGCAGTGATGCGTGACTGAAATTACATGAAACTCACAGGGGTTGAGAGTATCTGCACAATAAAAAAATAATTCAAAATTGACCACATGGTTTTGTAGTTATTTTAAAAACAGTCAGACGGACACTTTTTTGGGGGACATAACGGGTTCGTTCGTTTAGCTCACCCGGGATGACACGGGTGAAGGCGGACGGGTTAGCCACGACAGCCTAATCGAACGCTAAACTGCGAGCCATCACGATCCTCACGTGACGCGAGCCCGCAGCAACAGCTGTAGCCGGCCCATGTCACTGACAAAAACGCCCGTTTCGGATTTGGGTTTTAGTTTGAGATTTACTGCTTTTCAAGTCAATTGCAAAGCTAAAAAAAGATTGGCTGGAATAATTATAGCTCCAAAAGTCAATGAATTCAATAAATGATTACCTTTAAAGTTTATACTTCCAATTTTGAAGTCCACTTAAGATTTCCGCCGTCCGGCCGCCATTTTGTCCGTTTCTAGGGAATGAACGACGCATGCGTGACGTACTTTTCACCAGTGACTCTGCTCCACGAGCAGGGTCTGTGGGTGGTGACCGACCCGGGTTAGCCACGAGAATGACGTCAGAGCTAATCGAACGGCACATGGATGACCCGTGTCGAACCGGGTGAGCTAAACGAACTCACCCACTGTACAGTCGAATTTCAAATTAGCATCGGAACCGAGGCTCTGTAGTGATAACCCTCCCAACAAAATTAATGACACCACTTGGACCCTCGGTTTCAGTGGAAATGTGAAGTTCCTTTTTACGGTGATGACGTGATACGTTCGCTCCAATCGTCAGTGCGTAAAAAGTCGTAGTGCGTACTACGACACAAAAGATTTCCCAAGGGAACATTGCAAGGAAAGGCTCACTTTTAATGATTGCTCAGACAACCTTATACTTTCAAGTTGAATTTATTGAATTACATTCAATAATTGAATTACAAGACCATCATTCAATATTTGAATTACAAGACCATAATTTCAAAAAGGATTACCAAAGCTTTCATTTCTAACTCGTTTTTTATATATGGTTTTATAGCAAGATGCGAGTCGAATTTGGTTTTTGGAGCCAACACTTATACAATTCGATGAAAGAATCCTGAAATTTCCTGATACAATTAAGACCTTATTTACTTGCCCTTTTAGAAAGAGGAAAGTTTGATCGCCAAATAACTCATTTTGAAGTCGAATACTGTCGCCAGAAAAGTTACCTTATACTCCGCAAAGAACCTGGCCAAAACAAGTCGCAATAAATACATGTACCTTCAATAATTACATAATATCCAATAAAAAGCAGGTACATTATTACTATGTAGTTTTTATTTATGGGAAAGACAAATTATCTGCAGAGAAACCTTGAAAAATATTGCGCCCAAACATCTGAATCATATCCAATTTATAGCTAGGAATCGTGACTTGCCAATAAAGAAAATGAAATGGCACTACTGCTATTGTTACTATTGCTTACTGCATAGATCTCAAAATTAAGGTCAACTTTCATTTCAGATTGTTTATCTGAAACAAAAAATTGAAACACTGATTACACACTGAGAAATAAAATCAACACCCCTCCCCCAAATAAAAAAAAAGCAATAACTATTTTACAATAAAAACAAGTAATAACAAAAAAATAAATAACAAATATAAGGCTTTGCCCAAAATGCAACTCAATTTGAAATTTGTTCGAAAATATGAGAGACGATTAAAAGACAGAACTTCTAATGTGCTTTTCACAATTAATACCCGTCCAATGCAGTGTCTAGCACTAAGTGCACTACGAAAAAGATGATTTAATATTGACCTAACGGTCTGGGGGAAATGCATGCAAATGCTTGGCCATAGAGGGGCGTTTTGTTGGAGAAACGCAAATTTTTGGGCAAATCTTTAATGAGAAAAACATTTTCTAATAGACTTTATTCACGAAGCGGCCATTTTAAACTGAAAGTGAGATAAAGTCTTCATTTTTGGCACTTGCTAGTAAAAATGAATGCAATGTTATAAAGATCATTAACAAATTAATTCCAATCTGCTCTGATGAATAATTCAAAATATGTGATTAACCTAAATGTTGTGAGGGTGCACGCCTGTGAATAGGTCAAAAATCCGTCCGCCGAGCTCATGAATAAAAGTTAAACCTTCAAAATATTCTATATTAGAGAGTTCTGAGAGCCATGGAATTGGGGAATTGAAGACATGTGGCACTGGACTTTTGGATGCAATCGGGCCCGAAAGTGGCGCTATTTAGCCATGTTGTGGAGGGATTCTTTTTCAAAATGGCTACTTTTCCAGTTTGGGACACATCATTCGTTTTAGGCGTGTTCTTCTTTGGGTGAGAATATCTCAAAAAAAGTCAATGGTCAACCCACCAAAAATTGAAAAGAAAATGAAAGATGACATGTTGATCATCATTTTTCTGTTCAGCTTGAATACCTGTGAGAGTTCTGAGTATTTTTAAATGAATTTTGAAGTACATGTATGGGCATTTAGCACTAGTGTCTAT